CAGGAACTCGGCTGGCAGTACTGCGGCAGCCTGCTGGGAGTGGTGAAATGGAAGAAGTCCCACAAGCATGTTCTATACAAGCCATTTATTTGAAATGCCAACTATACGTAAGATAAAGTCAGTGTTACATGCTTCTCAGCAACAGTAGAAAAATAGAACCAGTGAAAACCTTTTTACAACTGTAATGGTACTCAAAAGAGAAATGTTTTGTTTTACAATGCATCACACAAGACTAGAATTCAAGTTTGGAGGTACCTAAATAAAAATACTATTTTTTTAAAAAAACACTATGTACAATTGAAGCGTAAACAAGTTTTACAAAGTACTGGTTATGCAGGTTGTAGAAAAAACACTTGCATAGGACATGAAGTCAGTTTAAGAAAGTTTTCTGAGCCTTTAGCATTGAAGGCACTTGACTTTATACCAGTAACAACACAAGGACAAGAAACAAAACCGTAACGTTGCCGAAGGCAGGGCTACCTTCTGGCAGTACAGATAATTACAGAAACCCCAAATAGGGTTTTTTACAATTTTATCTCTCAGCTGTTCCCTGTGTTCAGCAGAGCTCAGCAACATCCTCTACCATAGAAGCATATCATTATTAGAAGAAAGAACAGTGCCTCAAACAGCACAAGTACTCTTTCAAGAAAAGAAAAAAAACAAACCAAACTAACCCAACCAAGCCCCCCAAAAACCCCACCAAACACAAACCAAAGAAACCCATAAGACAAACATTTGTGACATTCAAGGACCAAAAACCAAGTACAGATGGCCACAGCCTTAACTTTCAGAAATGAAACTCCTCAAGAACAGGAAAAATACAACAAGAAACTGCCAGTCAACACAGCAGTCATTAACACACAACTACAGTAACTCTGTGAAACAACAAACATTTCAAAGGAAGAATCTGTTTCAGGAATTCAGTTATTCATCCACATATTAAGGAAAAGAGGAATGGGTCAGGGAAAAGGGAATAAGAAATTTTTGCATGTTGCTCACTAAGTGAAAGCCTGAGCTTTCTCTTTACTAGAACAAGGAGCACAAGTCCTCCTCATCCAAGAAAACTTCATACTTCTATCCTCAAGCAAAATATAGTCAGTAATCTGTTATCTCCATCAAATTTACAGGAGGAAAATATGTTAATTTCCAGCCTAATCAGAAAGTGCATCATGTAAACAAGGAGCTTCTGCACCGAAGTTTCAGTAGACAGAGAACAAGAAGTAGCAGGTAGCGCAGGTATGTGTTCTGCAAGTGAGATGCAGTATGAACACTAGCTTCTGAATAATGCTTTCATGACGAAGAACAAAGACAGTGTCTCTCGTATGTCCAACTAGGTAGGAAATCCTATGCTGGAGTACAAAAACACAGTTCCAATACTTTGACAAAACATTATTTTCCACTTTGAGTTGGCTGACGTTAGCTGCTATCTTCTTCCCAACTCAAAATACGCAAGTGAAAATGCAGATTGTCTACATGGCCTGATTGTCTTTGTGGCCTCAGAAAGACTTATTTTGCACCTACTTTTAAACACTTTATTATCTTTTTAATACTGCTCAGCTTCTGAGACTTCAGAAGCAATTTTGTATTTCAAGATGCAGTCCCCCCCCCCCCCAAGGCATTTCTCACCAGCTTGTTCCAAAGCCAAAGCATTTCATTATTTCCCTCAAGCTATAACCTCAAAACTCCTCAGTCTTCATCAACTACGTCCCCACAAATTTCAAGCTTAAAAGTTACATCTGTAGATTTGAGCCCCACCTCTGTCCAGGCACACAGTGCCACATCAAACTATGGTAACTAAAATAGTTTTCTCAAAGTACGTCTGTTGATTTTAGGTAAATTATTCAGAATAATAAGTCTTCTGAGGACAGCTATGACTTTTTGGTAATTAAGCTACCAACCTATGCATGACACAAATGCAGTGAGTTTCTGTGTGTGATAAAAGTTAATGCTTCTAGTGCTGGTGAGCATGAGACCCACGTGTCCGTCAGAGCTACACACTGTGCTCAAACCTGCAGACGAAACCCAACGAGCCTCAGTCCCTAGCCTGCAGCAGCACCATCCCCCCACTGACACCTCCTTGCATTTAACAATGTTCTATGCTGCAGTCCCACGGAAATACTACATAGTGATGAGGAGGCCAGGACCACCAAGTGTCTCAGCTACAGTCCAAAAACAGATTTAAAAGGCTGACAGAGAGAAAAAAAGTTATCGCCCTTCACCCACATTTGCGCAGTTTGACCAAGTTTCTCCCCCCATCCCACACCACGCCTTCCATGGCTGCACCTCAAAAGGAGTGTCTGCCGAGCTTTCACAGAAGCAGGAGGCCTGCAGATGTGTATGCAGGAGACATTAGGATTTCCTGGTTCAAACACCCATTATCTTCATCTATCTAGAAGCTATTTGGTAGTTTGGAAATGCAGTATTCCATATATTTCAATAACATTGTTGTGTTGTTACCTTGCATGCTTTAAGAATTTGCCATCAACTAAAACTAAAGTTTCTGCAAGATTTCCATTTCAATAGCATTAAGCATTTTGAACTGTGGAAACAACTCAACCTAATCTTAAAGCAGTCCTTAGGTCACACTTGGGATTAAAGTTTTCTACTACAGGGAAATTTTTCATTATAGAAACTGCATTTAAAAAACCCAAACAAACAGGCCTTTACCAGTAATCACTACACTGCAGTGGCATCAGATCCCTATCCTAAATGCAATGAATCTGGTAAAAACTGCATGCACTTAATAATTATAACCGTTACACCCAGTGCATTGGTTAACCCCAACCCAGTGGCAGGGAACCAGCCCAGATCACCATCATTCCCTCTTAATAGCGTGTTAATAGATGATATAATTTCTGTGCTTTAAAAAAGCAAAGTTGGGAAATGGAAGTGTAATTTAAGAGTACTAAAGCTTCGCACATTTCATGAGGCTGGAGCAGTTACTCTTCACTTTGATATTTTTCACAGAACAGCTGCAATTATGAAGTCAAAAACACTTCAGATCAGATAAGGAACACTGAACAACATCACTAGGAGTGAAGCCCTTTTTCAGTCATAGGCAGGAGAAAGCAAGGCAACGAGCAGTCACCTCAGCACCTCTGTGGAGAGGGAACCCTTGCAAAGGGAGGGTTACCATTCAGGCAACAGCAAAGATCCTATGCCTTGTCTTCCTGACGCTCCAGGGTTTAGCATGAATCCTCACCTCCAGTCTTCACTTACTCCCACGCATGGGTAGCTGGAAGAACAAATTATTACTATCATTTTTACAGTATTTTTATATTTATTTCTGCATGGGCAAATGAACAATTCTAGTCTGCCTACTAAGTGCTTCTGGGTGATCATGGAGTTCTCCAAGGTCACAAGTGAACCAGAAAGCAAACAGAAGCAGACTGTCAGATCCCAGTGAATTTCACTGGAATTTGGACTCCTAAGTATCCCCCTGGACTCTTAAAAACCCAAATATAATTCTTGACATGGGCTTGCTATGTAAGGATCAGACCAGCTGCCAGAACTTTTCAAGCAAAACATTAGACTGGATTCTTGCTGTAGTTGTAAAAATCAGGAAGATTTCAGATCTAAACAAACAAAAAAATCTAACTAAAAATGTAGAATTTTGATGTGCTGTTCTTTGGAATTCCTATAATTAAAAAATAAATGTACTGTTACTATCTCATAAGAAAATACATTTCATAATGTGCAACCCAATGCACATAGGGAATTGGCAGGTGAAAGGGAAAATGCAAAAGTATGAAAATACAGTCCTTTAAATGTGACAGTAAAGTTCAACATATTAGTACAAAACTAATACACTAAAATAGATGTACAGGTGCAAAAGGCTACCAGGTTGTAGAAAAAGGTACCAGCTTTTTTTTTTTTAAAGGCTTAATTAAATTTGCTCAAAAAAATTTCCCACAAAATAAAACCAGAAGCAGCATTAAAAATAAACTGAACAACATGCTGTCTCTAATAAAGCAATGTATGTACAAAAGAAGTGAGTGAAGCTGAATTTATCTGCTGGCATGAACAAATTTGTCTGACAGAAGTCAGGCCAAAAGTTGCAAAGAATGGGATGTTCACAACTCTTAGGCACAGAGAAATAGTGGAGGTTGCTTTCATAGGGCAGACTTTTTATACAGGAAGTCTGGTTTGTTTGGAGACCTCCTTCCTCTGCTTACTGCATCTTCCCTTTCCAAATCTGCATTTCTCTGTGCTCCATGTTCCAATGGCTCATCATCTGTCAGTCTCCTACTGGGTCTTTCTTGCACTTCAGAGGTGTATGCAGAGAGCGAAGGTCTGTTGGAGGTTAGCCCATACGTTAGATCGGTTTCCATTTTTGTTCTTCCCCTGATATGAACTGGGCCATTAACAGCATTTTCCTGGGTAGCTAGTGCCAAGTCCAGTCGCTGGGGAGGTTGTTCTAAGACATCGAGGTGTATTGGCTCATTCTTTTGTCTGTGTTGATGCCCATCTTGGGAGAGCAAGTATTCCCTCCTAGAATCCTCTTGCTTTTTAGGAGATATCTGGGAAGGTAGATAGGCTGACTTTAAGCCACTTGGTGATGCCTTATTGTGGCTATACAGATCTGGGCCAAAATATATGCCTTGTGAAGGCGAAGGACTGTGCCTGTTGGGCGCTGGAGTGGAGGGTCTGCATGCAGCATTGGAGAAGTCACAGAAGTCAGGATATTCCTGCTGATTTTCTCGAGCATCTAGTTTTTGCTCTATTGCATGTTTCTTTCGAGAAGTGGGCATGTGTCTGTTCTGAATACATGAAATGTGCTGGGGTGGAGCAGGCCCTACCTCCGTAACTGTCTGGCTTAATTCTGTGTCAACAGTGAGCTCTGGTAATCTTCTGTCTTTTAAAGACATTGCTGACACACCCATTGCGATATCTGGCATCAGTTCATTTAGCAAGGGCTGAGTACACTGGAAGAGAAAAAGTAATTGGTCCATGAAAACACAGCAAAAGCTAAACACAACTTGTATTTAGGATAGCTGCTGTAATTCAACATGGCATTTCCCTAACCTACCTTTGCCTAGACCTCAGCCTGCAGGTTTCCTGCACTGTTTAAAGAACACATGTATCCTCCAACCTTCACCTTCCTGCTAGCTTAGGACTTCTTTCTTTCATGAAGCTTCTGTGCCACAATAGTAGTTCCTTCTTAAATGCATCTTGTCTTGAATATGCAGTAAATGACAATGTACGTTAAACTCTCAAAATGTAAACCTGTTTTAAGCTACTTGCAATTATTAAACTAAACAAGGCACTCAGTGCAGAACTGAACAAATGGTTTCTTACAGCACAGAGCTCCAGTGCAGGGAAGCCATGAGACACATATTTCATCACTACAGATGCAACCTTTCTGCTTGCATTTCATATTTTAAATTAAGTTAATTGCAGGCACAAGTCTGTATGCACGACAGCCCCAGAGCTTGGGGGGAGCATCAGTTACAGTGATGACAAAATCCACAAAGTGTGTGGAAGCAGCAGCATGGCATTGTTTTCACCTACACCTAAGCAAATCCTGCAATGAGACAAGCATATTACAGTCTTCCAGATAGAAGGGTTAAAATTTCTACTTAAATGTACTTATAATTTCTAATGAAAGCAATTTTAGTAAACATTGATTACTAGTAACTCACAAATTGCAGAAATAATACAGAACAAAAGTGTCATCCATATTTAGGTCTATGCTTCTTGCATTTTTAAATATAAACATTCTAGTGGAGACATTTCTCATGTGAAAAAGCTGTGAAAAAGATCACTACACGGTTTCCTTAGTGAAGGCAGTATTAATCAAGAGAGATTTATGCTACAAACCCCACCCTTAACAAACAACAAAAACCAATTCTGCTTTTCTATAACATAGAAAGGCGAGCAATAAATTTAGAACAATTGCTAAAGGAAAACCAAAATTCCATGTTTCCATTCAGAGCTTCAGATCGAATCTGCATCTAAAGAGAGGGTTTCAGTATGACACAACTGTGCACTGAAACAGTTTTTTCACTGCAGAAATAAATTACCAAATTCTTTATTTAGCATTTCATGTACTTCACAAAGCTATGCCACTAGCTGGGTTTAAAACAACAGTTCAGTGTTAGACTTTGTTATTTTCATTGCAGTATATTGTAGTTCAGCAACTACAATGATTGTTTTTAAATGCTGCAACAAACTTCTTTGTGTTTGCAATTACCAATTTCTGCTTGCCTATTGATTTTCAAATCATTTTCACAGCTGTAAGGCCTTCACATTCTCCACAGGCTCGCTTTATACACATCTGTTTACTTCAGGACTACTTACCTGTGAACAGCCAAAATATCATCACTATTTCTACCTGGCAGTTACAGCACGCAGTCCACTACTTAAGTTGACTTATGCTTTGTTTCAATGTAGAGCAAACTATATTATTTCAGAAGATCTGAGTCCCGCTTGGCCCTCCTGCCCCTGGAACATTCATTCTCCCAGAGATTAGGGCATGGCTTTGCAACACGGAATGCTGACAGCCAGTTTGGTAGAAAATTCTTCTCCTAACCAACACTCTTTTATTTATCAAAGCTAAGTTACTTCATCATAAGAGTTCTCTCAAGCCCCTCTCTATAAGCTACGTTGAGTGGCCAGAGATAAAGAGGAGAAATAATACTTACTACTTGCTTCTCAGCTGCCATCACTGCCGCTGCTGCAGCCACTGTTTGTCTCCCCAGACCTGTAGTGTTAGTGCAATCAGGGGGTGCTGCTTTAACACTGGGCAAGTAGACAGGCGGGGCAGCTTTGGGAGCATTTCGGGAGTGGAACAGTGAGTGATTACACGGGTAAGAAAAGGAACGGGAGGGATGTTGACTTGGCACCCTTTGTTTCCAGCCCACTTTGAACTGGCTATGAATAGGAGTTGCTGGTGGGTGGTATGGAGGTGGAGGAGGGGGCAATGGTGGATGGAAGGCCACAAAAGAGTCCAGTTCTGTGAACATGGTTTCTGCAGTGGGAGTGCTGTTAACACGACATCGTCCAGACTGTCTCATGGTAAGGAGTGGGCTTTCATCCCCAAATCGCTCATCAGGAAAGAATTTGTGAGGATTCTGCAAAGCAAAAAAAACCCAGCACTAACAAAACAAAGTACAAAGCCATCTAGAAAAGTCTCCTAAACTAACACGCACTGGAACTAGAAATCTGCTAGTACTGTAACAAGGATAGTTGTGCCACCAAAAACCTCACCAACACCTGAGGGGATTACAGCTATCATGGAATAATGATTTTTTTAAAAAAAAAAAAACAAGACAAGAAGCATCAGATTCACTGTGTAAATAAGTTGACCAACAAATGCATTTGCTTTAACAGCAGCATACAAACAGAAGTGGGATTCACAGTTTCCTGGTCCTGATACGTAGTATGCAGATTTACTGTATTAGTCGGGGCTTTTTCTCCTCTCTGATTCAAGAATAAATCATAATCGACATTTCTGGTTATGGTTTGATTACTCTCATCAACTGCCTGTTCAGTAGATTTTCTTTTTGTCCCCCAAATCTGTCAGTAAGAGCACCCTGAATGGCGACAACTCTTGAGAAAAATATTTATACGTTGCACTGACAGAGTTATAAAATCACATACACTAAATGCAACAGTCCCACTGTAATTTGCACCTGGACAGATCACAGTTACACAGGCATTTCAAAGCATTTTTGCACCCACATGTGCACACACAAGGTAGTTCTCCTATTGTAGTTCTCTTATTGCAGGTTACACATTCAAGTCAATTCATAAGCAGAACAGAATCAAAGCATTTGTGGTGTCATACAGCAATGTTTCATACCTGCAAAAGTTCAGCAGCAGCATCAGAAAGTCCGAATTCCCGCAGCACACGAATCTGAATCTCATAACTGACTGTGGCACCTTCTCCACAATTGAGAGCATATGCTCTTTGCACCTGCTCAGTATGACGCAGCTCCTGCAGTCGTTTGATCATATCCTTTACAATGAGGAGGTTGGGAACTGGAGGGATAATAGAGAACAGAATGAGAATAATAGAGATTACTTTTTGACAATAATTTGATTGCAATGGTTAGATTTAAGTCTGATGGAAAAAATCTAACATCAGGCTGACTTTGCTTTTTTTTTTTTTTTCTAAGAAGCACTCTGCTAAGAACAGCTCGACTTAACACATGTTCCTTGGAGCATCATTAAGCCACATGGGATAATGCACATATTATACAAATGGTAAAGACATATACCGTTTTTCCAGCTTCTGGTAGAGTGAGCCACAAATACAGCCTTCTCTGTAAACCCCTTATGATGCAAGGATTTAATGATTTGAGGTGGGGGCAGGATATTTCTTAAATAACAACTGAATGTTCCCTCATGAATTTTACAGGCCAAGAATTCATTGATTTTTTTGGCACACACCTCATACTTCTAGTAGAATTCTATAATCACAAGTCCATAATACCAGTATGGAACTACAGAATGAGCATTCTAAAAAAATTACACAAACTGTAAGCCAATATAAACCTGTTCAAATTGTGTCGTTTTATACAGCCACAGTGAAATAATTAAAAAAAAAAAAACAAAAACAA